AAAATCCCCCCTGAATGGGGTGGGGTTTGGCAGACCCCTACCTGTCCATTAAATTTTTTTTAATAAAATCAATTGTGAGGGGGACATAAACCTTACCTCACTACAGGTTTTATATCTATCCATGGGCTTTACATAAACCAAAGGCCTATAAAGCTAAAATAAAAAGGCCCATGTTTGTCTTAGTCAAAACAAAAAGGTAAAGCATCAATAAATGGTTGCAGACTTGTTCTTACCAATGCAGAAAGATTTCTATGGCTTCCTCTTCCAACCCTTCGAATTCCGGCAATGAGGAACGTCTTATCCAGATCTTTGAGAGGATTTTTGGATCTATGAGACGCTCTATGTGCACACATCATATGGATAATTTCCAGGTTTTCAGAGATACCTTGAATCCAGTTGCAATGATTGCTGCTAGAGGTGAAATCGACATCCAAAATGAGCTTTTTTTTTTCCAGAGTCTCCATATACATATGATTGCATTACAAAGTTTAACACGATTTTTATACCCCCAGACTCTAAACAGACCTCCTAAGTCCTAAAGTCAGGTCGATTAAAGGCACATGCCTTCTTCCCATCTTATATTAAATCCATATGTAGCAATGATCGTCACGAAAACAACGAAAAAACATACCAACAGGCTTTTGTACTGCAAATCTGCAATAGAATGTATCATGAAAGTATTTCAAGACCTGATGAAACCGTTTAGGTGATCCATGATTCCATGCCCATGGTTGAAGTGTTTCCTTGTAATAATCCAAATCTATATGATTGCTTGTATCATCAATGACTATCTATTGGGGATTCCACATCCATATGATTGTTTTGTTACCATTCTATATTACTGAACCTCTGCAGGAGTCTATCAATAGCTTCAGAACGAAGAGAAGTCAGTGATACAACACAAGGATTACATGCATAATATCCTGATCTTGACAGAAACAGTCCACTTATGCCAAAAGCCAGACATTGTGGTTATGTTAAGACTCCTGCTATGGCACGTACAGGAATAGTGATACCCCGGCTTTGCCAAAGAAGCTAAGATAAAGTGAATTGAAGTACTAATACTTAACACGACGCAAATGGTGTTCATTATTATGAGAATGATGAAAAAAAAAGAATTCAAGATTAAATTTTCTATTCATATATCCCAAAGATTACAACAGATGATGATACATACATCAATAGTGCAAAGTTAGTTCATGCTTGTGTTCAAATAATAATAGGTAGAAAATAATTTAGTTATTCAGTACTTCCGGGAAGAAACTTCCTACTCGATTGAAATGAAGTTGAGCTTTTAGTACCGATTTTTCTGACTGCTGGAATAACACGAGATGGGGACAAAACCTCTGCAGAAGACACATTGTACGAATCTACCCCTAATCGACTCTGTATCCATCCTTGACCTCCAGAGAATCCGTCAGCCATGATCCAACAGTTTTTAATTCCTAGACTGGTAAGAGTCTTTGCCACAATTTTGGCTATGTCAGAGTACCTGAATGTATCGCAAATTTTACCAGGTTAAGATTAGCCATTAGGACCACAGAGAATAAAAAATATAACGTTAGAGCAACATTTGAAATATTGTAGGGGCAAGGGGTGAGAACTCACGAGTCCATGATCACAATATTCAAACCTTTACCGACTCTCTTGAGATAGGAAATCTTGACAGCGGCTATTTCAGCTTCCACTTGCTTTGTGTTTCTGACGATATTTTTAATCTTGATTGGCAGTTCTTCCAAGCTGAGTCATGGAAAGAAGAGAGGGATAACTACTATTAGCAACAGTAATATAGTACATTTTCACCCCTATATTGATGCAAAAAGTTCAGTGTCCAGATATCAGTATGCCAAAATGTTGTTGTCACTCACAAACTTATTGATCAAATGTTCATGTTTTAACAGTGTGTCTCTAAGATGATTACTATCTTTTGAAATCCAATTTATTAACACATGCAGTGGAAAACAAAAGGAGCCACTACTACTCACGGAATTGAGATCATCTTGTTCTTGGCATTAGGGGGAAGGCGTGGAAGACCAGCTTTGTCCTTGTCTTTCTCTGATCGAATATCAATCAGAATGTAATTCTGTGTAGATAACAAATCGAGTGTTTGAGCAGGGCTGAGCTTCCCTGTTGAAAGTAATATGAATAGTTGATTACTATTGTATAAAAATGAACTAATGCATGATCTGAACATTGAAATCGTAACAACGCTACACTCATGAAAAAAGTAGTAGTGAAAAACACAACAATCTCACAGAACATGATAAAATATATCTACCTTTGTACCCACGCAGATTAAAGGAGATCGCTGACCATATTGGAGGTAAGAGAATATATGCAAGGAAGATTGCACCTGCTGCCTCCACAATCACAATAGGACCTGCTGATGAGATTGTTTCAAATGTTGATGAAGCAATGGGTTTGGCCACATCAAGTACTTTAGAACTCTGTTGTGCTGCTTCGGTCACAGTCTGTTGTATACAATGTGTTATCGGTCAATCATTGTTTATCAAATACTAAGTTCCATGTACACCTACGGTTGTGCAGTCAAGTTTGAACTATACACTCAAACAGATTAATTATATAAACATAGAATAATTTAGTTCTCAAACAGATTAATCATCTACGGTTGTGCAGTCAAGTTCCATGTACATCTATGCTGATTAATTTAAATTCAATTATTTCAAAAACCACATTTCGGTATTATAATTTCAAAGACTCAAAATAAAACCAAAAGATGTTCAACATAGAAATCCTAACCACAATATTGCCTGTCATTCTGTGACTCACATTAGTAAATTCGTGTCAGATACTAAAAATGAACCACACAATGGTAATATATTGACTCCCACCCTTTTCATTCCCTATTTAACCCTTCACCAATTAGTGTCACTCCAATAACACAATCTAACCATATATGTATGTGCCAACAGCATAGTTTAGAACATACAAATAGACAAAGCTAACGTACACCCGAAAGACAAAGAAACCAATTTTGGCAAAGGGGATGCACCTTAGCAGCACTAAGAACTGGTGCCGTATCAATGCCTGAGTCCTGAAGTACTTCTTGGGTTTTCTTAGAAGCCTCAGAAATCGCAGGTGATGCAATTTCCAAAGCTTGTTCCCCAGCTTTTTGTAAGAGTGGCATAGCTACATCAATTCCAGGCTTCAAAGTATCAATCACCACTTTAAATACACTTTGAGTTAAGTTCAAAACACCTGAACCCACTTCTTGTGCTTGATCAATAGTATCTTCTACCTGGACAATGAATTAATGCAAAGATGAGTAAAAGGAAAACAATCAATAGTAAGAGAATAAATTCTTACTTGTGTAAGAGATGTCATGATTTGGTCTTTAGACAAGGTGAAAGCTTTAGCTTCATTGGAAGATGTAATGAGAGTGAACAAAGAGATAGATGATGTTACTGTTGTTGGTAAAGATACAGAAATGGGTTCAAATTTAGTTTTAAGTGGAGTGGATTTGGAGAGAGAAGAAAGTTTGGGTGTGGAAGAAGAAGAAGAAGAAGAAGGTGGAGTAGTAGGAAGAAGAGGAGGCCTTGAAGCTGTGGATACAGCTCGAAAGGCCATTTTCTTGTTTTTTTTTTTTCAAAGAAATGGATTGAAAGTGGTCGAGTGGAAGTGAAAGAAGGAGGAAAATTAAAGAGAAAATGTAATTGTCTTTTATGCTTTTACAGATCACCCAATCCTACTTGGCTATAAAAAAATTGGAATTCATGATCTTGTAGACTTGTACTACAGTAGGATACTGTACACTGATGAAAAATTATCTGAGTCGACTCAGTGATTGTGGTTTGCTGGTCCTTATTCCTTAAGCTTCCGATTTGGATCTGGATTAAAATAACTTCTTTATACAAAACTTTTTTTTTTCTTTGTTTTATTACAGCAATACTTTGTGCCAAATGCTGAAGTAGCTCAGTTGTTTAGAGCGTGTGAACCTTAACCACAAGGTCGAAGGTTTGAACCCTAACTCTAGCATACACAAACAACTTGATTTTGGTCTCATATTCATCTCTATCTTGTAGATGCTCCTGTGCATTCCAGCTTTTAGTATATGTTTGATTAACCCAAATTAATTGATTTTATATTTCACGAGGCTAACATCAACGAGCTTCGTATGGTACAATACTACAATGTATATGAAGCTCAATGCATTTCCCATCTGAAGGCTTGACATCAACAAGCTTCGTATCATCGTTTGGTACAATGTCTCAACTCTCAATGCATTTCCCACCTTATATAACAAAGTGTATATATTTTACTCAACCCATGCATTGTCATACAACATTGATACAGTGTATAAATTTCTTGGAGCAGGATCAAAAAGATATCTTGATAAAGACCAATATGTGCAAAATCAATATGTAGAGCACAAAAGAAGACCTGAGAAGCATCAGCCTCTTCTGGGTTTCAGTTCTTCCCCAGGCAAAAGAAGACTTCAAGTGGGCATCTTCATTGTAATCTGCAGACGAGATCCTCCCTGAGGAACTACTTCTTCCAAAACGATATCTTGCAGAGTTCATGTCTATATTCCCATTCTCAAGTCCTCTTCGGAAACCATTTAACTTTTCCAACTCTTTCTCTTTGGCATGAATTTCACCAACCAGGCTTTCTGCTTGTGCCTATAGTAGAAGCGTTTAAAAAATCAGAACCAATGAACAAATCTATAATAACAAACTTAAATGATGATTAGCTTTGAAGATTGCAGTTTGTGAGAAATGAAACTTACTTGCTTTGCAGCTAATTGCTCGATTAGACCATGAAGCTGCTTATCCAATATCTTCTCTCTTTGAGCTGGATAAGAACCAAATCCAAAGAATTGATTAGCAATGTTTGACTATGCTAAATTATTAACTACATCAAGTAACAATTTCATGTCTATATATGAACATCCAAAAATGTCATGAGAAATACCTGGGGAAGGGTGTCTCAGAGAATTTTGCTGAACTAGAGCCCACTTTTTCTCTAATTGTTCAATAAACTCTTCCATAGAACTCTGAGAAATCAAACAAACGCAAGTTATGGTGTTATACTAAAAAGTGGATAAGATGACTTTTATCATGCAATTATGCAACAAAGGGGATGGACAAAGATTTGACAGACCAGTTCTTTTTTCTTAGCATCTAACTGCTCTGATATATCAGACTTCGATGTTGCATCAGCTTTGGCTTCTTTGGTTATCGCAGGATCAACTAATGATTCACCAGAATTGTTGAGCTCCGCAGTAGCTTGTATATTTTCCAGCTCGGATTTTAGGTCCTTCTCCATCATGTTCATTTCCTTTTAAAGAAGCGAAAACACAAAGAAAAATTGGTAAAGTAAAAAGAAAATAATCCAACCACATTATTGCTTATTAAAAAATATCACAAATGTCAGGTACTCAGGTCAGGTGCATACTAACATCATAGCACAGAGGTATAAACATGCCTAATTATATAACTTCAAAACTAAGGGTAAAATAGCTTCTCAAACCTCAATGTAACCATGTTCACATTTGAGTCAAATAGATACAGGCTTTCAGCAATATTTAAAGACCATGGAACTGAAGACGACCTATTACTGTATATAACACAGATTTCCTGGATATTACTGTTTTTAGAACTATAAGAGGATGCTAGACTACTAGTGTCTCTAAAGTGCAAACACGAAGCACCACAAATCTTGTACATAACAAAGATTTCCTGGAAATTACTGTTTTAGAACTATACGAGGGTGCTAGACTACTAGTGTCTCTAAAGCGCAAACACTAAGCACCACAAATCTTGGGTGTTGACCTTGATTTGTTTTACCAATACCACGCGAACAAAATAAGCACACACAAACAAGTGACAATAAGATATCCACATAACAATGAATTTTAATAATTCTATTCGGTAGAATTAACAGGCCAACCCAAACGAAAATTAGGAACATGTATCTGAAATTTTGTAAGTACCGACCTTCAGCTTGGTCTTAAGTAGATCCTTCTCCTGCGATTTTTCCTGTATTTTCTTCTCACATTCTGATATAGCTTTTTCATATGCAGAATTTTCTTCTTGCAGTGTTATCTCACGTTGTTGTACCTAAACAAAGAAAAAACAATGCCACAATTTGTAAATATCTAACGAAAATGCTTTCTATCGATAACAGTTTCCCTTCACTATCAAAACTTCGGTCGGATACGAACTACTTATCACAACTAACAAAATCCATTCGATTTCAAATAGATTGTGAAAATATTAAACATCCCTTGAGACCACACTATAAAACAGGTCTTTTGTAAATCTCTATTGGGTTTCAACACCGTAATCCATTATCCAGAATTCCAAGTACTATGATGGCCAATATTTCGAGTAAAGTGGGAAACTGTATTCACCTTTGGGATAGCTCTTATTGAGTTATTGTTTTGCTTGCGTATGACGATTTGGTATTTTAAGAATAGCTTGCCTTTTAAAGGTCAGTTATGTTCCATTCATCCTTTGACATTGTATTCGCACAGAGGATCAATCTTAATCACAATTAGATAGCTCATCCCAAACCCATACTAAGATAATTTTCTGGGCTACAAATCCAAAGTATAACTTTTTCAGAAATCTAATGTTGAAGAGGTTTACTAGGATTTTGTACTATTGGAAGGTCTAAAATAAAAAAAATGGGAAGTTTTAAAAGTTAGATTTTTAGAAATGCATCATAAGTCATAGCCAATCATATTTTTTTCATTTCTTTTATATAACTTGTAAGTCCTCGAGTTTGACATCATTTCTTCAAATACCTATTTGGGAAAATTTATACCCATGTGAGAGTTCAAAGAAGGTGAATTTCAAGATTCAAGTAAGAAAAAGGCATAGCAAACATCAAATTTCAAATAAGAATTACATATGAATAGAGAAAACAAACTGAATTTCAAATACCCAAAGGAGTAAAACGAATGGCCAAGTACAAAATTAATGAAAAAGTTGACCTCTTCTCTAGTGGAGGAATGAGCGTTCAATTGAAGAGCAAGTGCAGCATTTGAAGCAAGAGAATGTGCATGAAGGTGAGGAAGACGTTGAGATATATCAGGTGGAGGAATTCTTAGCCGTAGATCTTGAATCGAACGTCTCAATGAAGTAGCTTTTTGATCTAATTCTCGTACGTATATTTGTTGTTCTGGGGTGAATATAACCGTGGGGTATTGGTTGCTTTCTTCTTCATCGTTGCTATGATTCCCTCCTACTACATCTGCTGCCCAAGCTAGCAAACCAGCCATCTCTCTCTCTCTGACTCTCTCTCGGTCTCAAGTCTTTAGCTCTACGTTGAACAAAAAGGAGCTTTGCACTTCCTACACTCTTACAGTGCCCGGGCTATGAAATGGGGCTGGGCCAAAATGGGAATTTTAAAACTGAATCCAAATTAAGAACTCGAGTCCAGCCCATCGCCATTTCTGGTTAGATTTAGTGGTCCTTCAAGTTGGGTACTCTGACATGAATTTGGCACTATAGATGAAAGAGTCCAAATTGCACATTTGCAGTTGTCCATTGTTGTTTACTTGGCCTTTGTTTGAGAGTACACGAGTCAGATTGTGGAGGGGTGGGTCGCTTACTACACTTTTGAGAGATGATTCTTTGTCACATGGGAAATTATAGTATATATGCATTGAAGCAGATTTTTGTTACATTATTACTCACATCAAATTTTTGATGCATTCAACATCATTCAGATCAATTTCTATTCATGAATATCGATGCAATAAAAGCGGTTAGAGAATTAGAGATATGGTTAGGAGAGGGCTGCTACAACGTGTCTACTTTACTTCTTAGAGCAGTAGATACAATCTGCATATAAAAATATCGGACTTAGAATGGCTATTTAAATTCACCATAGAAACAACCAGCTAAGCAAAGCAGTAAACCAAAAGGTCCGTCCGTACGATAATGACGATGACGATCTTTCTGATTCCACCTCTTTTTTT